AGACATACAATTCTGTATCCATTATATCAATTAATCGTATTTTTTTTGTAATTATACAACATTTATATACAATATTATTCATCATTTATTCTATTTTGCTTATGGAAGCGATGTGCAATTATTATTTGAATTGTAAACTTTTGATTCTATTACATACGAACAATAATTATTCTACATAAGAGCAGAATGTGAAATAAAACGAGCGTGCTCGTTAATAAGGGTTCGTCGGAGTAAGGACGAAGCTCGAAGCGAATGGCGGCTGAAGGATTGTTCCTCCGTCGTTCCTTACTGCCAACTTTCTCACGTCCGCGATTGTGCCGGTATGCGAGTAATGATAACGTCGACTTGAACTTTCTTACGGCGCGATATCGCCCCCGAGAATTTGTGCAGCGCTTACCGTGGAATTTTGCAAGTTCCTAGGAAGCAGTGCAGTCTCGTCGAGGTGCTGGAGGGAAGAACGACTAGGAAAAGGGAGAGAAGGTACTAAGAGAGTTAACGTAAAGTGTTGCAGCGTTAAGTTGACCGAATTTATGTTAGTTGTCGCCGTTTTGGCCGTCGCATTTCTCAGCCTCTCTCTCTCAACCGTTTATAACCGTTGTACAATATTATAAAATATTACAACATGATATTTTGAAGAGCGTGTGGTAACGAGGGCTTTAAATTCTCGCATAATTTTTGTCAAGAAAGACGTCATGGATTTATTATAATTCTACGGTAATTTCTTTCTTTGTTTATTTATTTTTAAAGTATTTAAGGATGTTTTGGCTGTACAATAGCAGCAAAAAACTGTCAAAATTAAAAAAAAAGCAAACATATTGACCATTTCTTACATTTATACTGTTTAAAAAATCAGATAAATAAATCCGGATTATAAAAAGAATTAAAATATCACAAAATAATATAATTTTTGACATCTTTGTAAAAAAAAAAATAGTTGTAATTAATATTTTTCCTGATTTATGACAAGAATTTTTTATCGTGAATACCACCTGAAATCAACTGCAAGAAAAAAAAAAACGAGTAATTTTCAGAAAGAGAGAGAAAGAGAGAGATAATATTTTTCTACAATATTTAGTAAATAACTTTTAAACGAGTAAGTGGATTTAAATCAAGTTTTGCATAAATATTTATTAGAGTTTTCTTAATATAAGTGAAAATTTTTATTTCGTTGGCGATGTTTTTTCCTTGTCAAATTTATCAATAAATACTACAATACGCGATTTTCCATAAGAATCAATACTAACTTTAAACTTAAATAATTTCCAAACCGTTAAGAGAATTGTGCTCAGGTTTTGCACAGATACTTAGAAGAAATAATAGAATAGTCTACGAAATTTTCATGCTTTTGTCAATGTTTTGACATATGACACATCCTTAAATTTCCGCATAATTTTTGTCAAGAAAGACGTCATGGATTTATTACAATTTTACGGAAATTTCTTGTTTATTTATTTTTAAGATATTTAAGTGCAAGTGCACGCAATATTAATGAATATGAAAACCTGTGGGCTTTTATACTGTTATTACAGATACCTATGTGCAACAGTTTCTTTCCTTATTTATCATGTAATAATTTTTATCCGTGATGAGCTCTAATTACGGTAAAATATGCAGTAGCACTCGACGTGTTTATAATTACGGTACGTTTTTATGTCAATATAAATATTCAATAAAGATAAATTTTTTAATGTAGCATTTAACATACTTTTTTAACGTATATTCACGAATATTTAAAGCGAGAAGTTAGGCTGGTAATTCCAACTCGGACTCGTGTTCTTTATAGTTTTTTTTTTGCATACGCGCAATAAATCGTTTGCAACGGAGAGAAACTGCAATACTTGACGATGATTCAAAAGCGCTCACTCGGAAATGAGATCGTACACCGTTTGCGAAACTCTGTGCATCGAGAACTTTAAGCTGCCGACAGCCGTTTTCAAGTTTCATCACCTCGTGCATACTTTAGCCGTTTTCGCTTTACCTTATTTTTAACAGAGAAGCACGCTTTTGCCAGTGTATCTATTTTGCCTCCTATATATCAATGTTGAATCTAATATTACTCTCAACTTCTCCTCTCGTCACATCGACTATCTGGAAATCCCTCTATCATGTTTATATTTGATTTGTTATCCTTTATAAATTATTTTTACAGACTTGTCTCTTATATTTTTGATATTTAATTTATTCAAGAAAGACATTAACATTATTCACCTAACAATTTAGATTGATTGTATAAATTTCTTATATTATCCATTTTGTTTTCTAGTTATTTATATTATGAATCTTTCTTTGTTAATTATGAAATAATTTGAATGAAATGTTTGAACTGTGAATATAATTTTTCAAACATCTTTCGCAGGTTTTAATTAATATATCTGTAACAACATTTATCTGTCTCCTGAGATATCGTGTTATTAATTACGAAAAACATGTCGTTCTTTGATCAGTGATTAATTATTTCTGCTTATTTCGAAAACAAGATGTATAATTATTAAAGAAATGCAAACTCAAGAGTTGTCTCGCGTTAATAGAAATTGAATTACGGCTGTTTCACGTTTGTAAAGAATATTAAATAAAGTAACGAAGAAATATTATAGATCGCGCTTTCCTTTATTTTTTCAATCGCACAAGTAATATATGCAAATAACACAAACTCATCAGGCAATGATAAACTTCGTTCAAAGTTTATTTATGTGTTTTAATGTTTACATTGAAATAGTAAAAAAAATCTTATCTCGACATACCCGCAATAGAGGCAGCGCTAATGACGCAATTGACCTTAGTTCAAGGGCCTCCATATCTCAGGGTAATAAGATCATTATTTTTTTTTTTAAATTGTACAGATGATAAGCAGATGCATAAATGTTATGTTTAGAGAAAATTTTTAGTTTGCACTAAGGATTAATTGAATAAATATATAATTCTATATTAATTCTACCATCGTTTATTAATAGTTATAATTAAAGACTTTTAATTCTAGTAAATTTAAGAAAAGAAATTAATACATACAACTTTTTGATAAAGAACAAAATAATCTAAATGTTCACATGTTTTATTAACCGACAATATTTTATTATTGTTTTAATAGCTTTTAAAATAATAAGTCTGGATGAAACCCGAGATTTTCGTCGATCGTCCTTATATGTAGAAAAGTACGACGTCGTTATTAATCCGATATTTATGCGGACCATTTTCTTTCGAATCAACGAGCGAGAGTGCTGCGCGTTCGCGATAAGATTCTCGCTGATTCGAGAAATCTCTCGCGTTTTCAACGCGAATTTGCATTGGCTTCGCCACGAAAATATTCAGCTCGATCGTAACGCGATTCGCAGGTCGATAAATCTGGCAGTCGGCGGGGAATGACCGAGATTGAGTCATTAGTTTTACGGGGATAAGACTAACGATCCAATCCCTCGAACGTGATAAATCAGTTTCCCGAGCGGGTGAACTTATTCGGCTTACATCGGCCGAACCGCTATAACCGAGTGTAATGGTGAACATTCGACCCGGGAATGTGTAACGTACTGGCGGTAGTAACGTGTAGTAAATTTGTAATTATGAGCTAGTTCTGTGGCTTGATGATTTGCGCGGTAACGCGTTTAATGGCGTCTTGAGTGTTCGAATGAAGAATTTGTCTCGGATCTTCGAGAAAGCATCATCTGTTCATTTGTGGTTGCAGTTTGAAAAATTTTACTGGACAATATTTGAAATACATGTAACACACATAATATACATACAGTATGTTCCAGATCAGGTCAATGAAACTTCAAGGTCTTATAGGAAATTAAATTTGGAACAAAAAGGTTTCGATAAACATAAGTCCGGAAACGTTTCGTTAAAAAGTCATAGCTAATAAACTTCGAAAAATCACATTTTTTTTATGTTTTTTAAAAATAACTTTAAAACCTTTTATTCATTTGAAAAAAGTAACGAAATAAATCTGATGAGTAATTAAATAACAAACTAAATTACACTAAATTTATTTAATTCTGGTAAGGCGTTCAAGAGAAAATAAGCTCAAAACAATGAAAAAAGCAGAAACTTGAAAAAATCACTTTTCGATGGTCTTTGTGTAAACACTACATTCGTAGTGCAAACATTGCAAATGCAAACATAAAAATGTTCTTATTAAATTTTAATCATAACTAATTACTTACAGAGAGTTCATTAGCTATAACTTTTTAACGAAGCGTTTCCGGACCTATGTTTATAGGAACTTTTTTGTTTCGAATTTAATTTCCTATAAAACTCTGAAGTTTCATTGACCTGACCTTGAACACCCTGTATATTGACAATAACATCTTATTGCAACATTATTTAATTCTTAAATTTATTTAGCACGTTTACTCGATTTGACACGATTTTTCGTGCGATTAATTATTATTTTGACGCAGGAAGATCACGTTCGCGGAATTAATACTTGTTTTGCAGTCGGTATCTGTTTGCAAAATAATAATACATGTTCCGGATATGTTGTGATATTTGATATAGATAATTCCACAATTCTATAATTTGATATAGATAATTCCACAATTCTCCATCTAATATATTCCCCGAAGGAGAGCGTTAATTTCAATCTTCTAAATTATGCAACTTATGTAACCGGAGATATACAAACTTTGCTCGACTCTACAACGAAGGATAAATTATTCATTTTCTCGGATCATATGCCTGATTAATATCATTATCTGAAAATTGATTACGCGGAATTTGTCTGATACTGCGATTGTCTTTAAAGTAAGGCCGTTTTCTATCACCTATAATCAAGATGGTTTTTTATTTTTTTTTTTACTAAAATAGACTTTTTTCTACAAAAATAGCCACATTTATCTAAATATAGAGCGTGCAATATTAAAAACACGAATATTTATTCTTGGAAAATTATATTTAAACAGCTTGTGCAAATTTGCAATGAATTGACAGGTGCATTGCTCTTTGGATAATGTATTATGTGCCTCATATAAAGAAAAAAAAAAAAAAAAAAAAAAAAAAAAAAACTAATATGAATAGTGATTTTTAACGTGCAATAATTCGAAAGGAATTAGATAAATGTTCCGAATAGTTGCTTATGAGAATATATTAGATAAAAATATATTAATAAATTAGAGCTAATTTGATTGTACATTTTATAGGACGATTATTAATTATTATTTCGTATAATCTTACGTTTAAATCTAAATTTTGATTAAACTGTTAGCTTTGAAACCCACTTTCTATAATCATCAACAAATTTAGAAATAATGTATTGGCACACATATTAATTTAAGCATATATTTTTTTTTCTTAATAATATTTCGTATAAAAATTATTTATCTCGGCATCTTTATAAAAATTTCCATTGTTGTTTACTAATAATAGTCCCATTATTCTTTTGATGAGCAAATGTTTTCCCTTTCTCCGTATATCAATTTCTACATGTTTCTAACACAAACAGATTTTCTCTTATTCTTTCCTTATCAATTCTTTCGTTCAGATTTCTTCTCACTCTCGTACGTGTGCGTATTTATTTTCCACGCTTTCCCGCAATCTCCTTCTCCCATTCGCGCGTTGATCATTGCCACGCATTTCGATCCCTCTCCGAATAGCAGCCGCGAACGAACATAAGTAATAAATACTGCAACACGGATGGCAAAGAGCAATAAAGTTCTTGCGCCGTGCCCGATCATGTCGCGCTATGTTTTTCTTATTCAAATATACGTCTACGTGGCATTCGTCGCCATCGTCACGGCTGACCAGGGTGAGTCAAAGAAAAAAAGATACTTCACCATCCTGTCATTTTTTATTTCATTTTTTAACTATTTTTGGAATAATTATCTTATCTCAAATTAATCTCTCATTGCATCGGTGGATTTAAACTTGCTATAATCTAAACGAGATTGATGAAGCTAAATTCAATTGTTTAGATCATCTATCTACAGTGTTATTTTTTTATCAAATTTTTACAATTCTTTCTTTTTTTTGTAAAGCGGAATGCAATAAAACAATATGCCCGGGACCGTTGAGATATTACGAGTCTCTCCACTGCAAACCTGTGTACGAAAATGAAGGTGACTGTTGCGCGAGAAAATATAATTGTGATCATCTGAAAGAGAAATCTACGAACAAGTGTTATGTTAATGGTAAAGAGTACGAAATCGGTGATGATCTTAAGCCTCAAGACGCGAATCCATGCGACATCGATTGCACTTGTAGACGTGGGTGGAATGATGATGGAGTGTAAGTACGATTTTAACATATAAATAAATTATTTTAACGTACACATATTATTTATTAATAATTATTATTATAAATTATTTTAATGCACATGTGTTTGTATGCAACAAACATTTTTTGTATAATGCAATGTACAGTTTTAAATAATCATGGCATAAAAATGCGCTATCATTTCACATTTTAATTGAAAAGTCTTCTGCAAATTCAGCGTGGCAATCATGAGTATTTAATACGAACATCAGTCATTCAGTGTATTTTCTTTCGATATTATGAAATATTTATGTTACATTATTCAAATCACATTCTCTCGTCTCAAGAGTGCAGAATTATTCTATCGTAGCAACACGTGTCAGATGTGTCAATATATGAGCCTGATTCGCATCTTGCACGGGATTTCTTCATATTAATAAAATTGAATTTTGCGCGCTCGTTTTTTATATAGGCACTTATTAACGGATTTTTGCTTATCAAATAATTTCACACGTGTCACTCATCGGAAACTTTATTTACTCCAGATTTTATATTTTATTTACTTCATAGATTTTTCATCTATAAACGATCGTTGTGCCTTTAAGGATGTTTTGGCTGTACAATAGTAGCAAAAAACTGTCAAAATTAAAAAAAAAGAACATCTTTCTTACATTTATACTGTTTAAAAAATCAAATAAATAAATTCGGATTATAAAAAAAAATTAAAGTATCACAAAATAATATGGTTTTTGACGTCTTCGTAAAAGAAAATAGTTGTAATTAATATTTTTTCTAATTTATAAAAATTTTTGATGATGAATTTGATCCTGAAATCAACTGCAAGAAACAAAAAAAAAACGAGTAATTTGCAGAAAGAGAGACAGATAATATTTGTCTACAATTTATAGTAAATAACATTTAAACGAGTAAGTGGATTTAAATCAAGTTTTGCACAAATATTTATTAGAGTTTCCTTATTATATGTGAAAATTTTTATTTTGCTGGCAATGTTTTTCCCTTGTCAAATTTGTCAATAAGTTACAATACGCGATTTTCCATAAGAATCAATATTAACTTTAAATTTAAATAATTTGCAAATTGTTAAGAGAATTGTGCTCAGGTTTTGCACAGATATTCAGAAGAAATAGTAGGACAATTTACGAAATTTTTATGCTTTTGTCAATGTTTCGACATATGACACATAAATCCTTAATAAAATTTATGGAAACCATTTCGACAAAATTTATTTAAACACAAAGATATCAAATCTTGGTCGTATCAATTATAACCAGATAGGCGATATGAAAATGAAATTTTAAGATTCTATTTATTCAAATCGTACAATCTTTTTGAGTAGTGCTGCGTTTGTATGTGCTGGCGTTGACTGTGCCTACGGGCCAACACAACCTGGTTGCTATAAGCGGGGAAACCTGACAAAATGTTGCGATGACGGAGAGGAAATTTGTCGTAAGTACATTATCTTCATCGAATGTCATAAATTTATATGAATTTATATGTATTTATATATATACGAAATTTATGAATGGATCATTATATATAGAAATTATCTGCCTCAAAATAGCATGTTAGAAAGTTTAAAACTTGATGCAAATAGTTATTCAAGAAGTCACACATTATATTTTTTAGTAATATATTAAAGTAAGTGGTACTTAAATATAGTACGTACACTCGCATAATATGAATATATAAATAAAATTCTTGATATATTTCAGCTGAGAAACTGGAAGATAGAGCTACTTGCGTTGTAGATGGAAAGATATATAAAGATGGCGAGTATTTCGAAGTGAAGAATGAATCAGAGTTAAATTGTATCTGTCTACCGGGATACAAAGGTAAAAAAAAAATACATAATATTTTAATTACTTTTTAATAAATTTATTTAACAACTTACTACATACTTATAATTCACAGATAATTCTCAATCAAAATTCTCTAAAAAGATATTTATATCAATTTTAATCGGAAATTTAATATTTTTAGGTAAAAATGTTGAACCTTTCTGTGTCAAACCCAAACGTCCATATTGCAGTCCTGAATTCCGTGATGCAAGCGACATTCGTCGAAACTGCGCTCCAGTATTTTATAACAGTCAATTGCCTCAGATCGATTGTCATTTAGGCACAAGATGCCGTAAGTTTTCGAGAACGTATTTAACTTAACTATTTTGTATTATAACTTAATTATTTTGTGGTATTTTTTAGAGAACGCTAATGACACTGTAATTCATAATCATGATGATTTGAAATCTGACGAAAATTTGGATGGTACGTTACTTTGTTTTTTGAGAATATTTAATCATTTATTAAGCATATGCAATTTTCAAGTAAATGATTTTTTATACATTGAAATATTTTATATAAATTTCACATTCGTGTATGTAACATAACTGGAGAGGCAATCTTTTTGTTTTGCGCTAAAAATCTGGTTTCATCTTTTCTCTCTTTCACTTTATTTAATTGCGATATTTTTATTTTGTGACAAATCGATTCGGCAATTACGAATATAGTGTGAGATAAATATGAAGTATTGATACGCGATTGAACATTCAAGCGATACTGATTACATCTATGCTATGAATCAAGGCAAATAGGAGGTAATTGCGACAAACATTGCATGCGGGTAACGAACAACGCGCTAAATCAATTTCCGTAGCGTGTTTATATTATGATCCTATCCAAAATGAGACAACTAATTTTAAAATATAACTAACTTTATCGCCGTGCTCTCAATTTAGTAAATACAGAAAAATTTTGTTAGATTGCTTTAATTAATATGCTAATAAAATTAAATAGATATTCAATTTTAAATTAAAATTTTTTAAATAAAATTAAATTTTTTAAAAATTGAATATCTATTCATTTTAAAAAATATAATAATATATCGAGATTTCTTTCTTCTAGACGAGAACGTGTGTCTGTTCGGTAACCTGAAGATGCATATTGGCGACGAATTGAATAGAGATACGGATTATAGTTCCGTTTGTGTCAAATGCATTTGCGAAGTGCCGCCTGTACCAACTTGTCAATTTTTGCCGGATAGCGAATGCGATGTCACAAAACATTATCCAAATTTCTAATCGACATATAAGTTCTAAAATATCTTGATCATCTTTGTCTTATGCGACTTAAGATCTTTGTTAAATATTTCTAAAAATTTTCAATAATAATAAAATTTTGTTTTATATCGACTCCTTTTTCTCATTCTCTTTCTTCATGTTTTTTTTTTAGTTTTCGTGCATATTTCTTTTTTATCTCCCACGTACATATCACTCTTTTTTTTCCATTGGGGCGTTGATCATTTCTTTCAGAATTATTTCCTATCTCTCTTCGAACTGGCAGCCGCGATCGAATAGAAGTATAAATAATGCAGCGCGGACACTAAAGTCGATAAAACTTTTGTGCGATGCTCAATCATGTTGCGTCGTATTTTTCTCTTATTGAGGTACGTGCTTACGTGGCTTTCATTGTCGTTATCATGACTGTTTACAAAACAAGTTGTAAAAAAAAAATAATATTTCGTTTTCTTGTGAAAAAAAATAACTTGGAATTTTTAAGCTGTTTTAAAAATAATTTAAAATTAATCTTTTATTATGTCGGCGGACTTAAAATCGTTGCAATTCACGATTCTAAAATTTTTTCTTTCTCGTGAAGAGGATGGTGATATAATGAAATGCTCACGTCTATCGACGTATTACGAGGCTCTCTCGGTTGGTAAATCTATGTACGAAGAACAAGGCGACTGTTACGCGACAAGCTACAACTGTGACCACCTGAAAGCGAGATCTCTGGACAAGTGTTACGTCAACGGCAATGAATACGAGATCGGCGAAAATCTTGAGGCTAAAGACGCGAATTCTTACGACATCAGTTGCACTTATAAACGCGGATGGATTGTCGACAGAATATAAATAGAACTTTAAAACATAAATAAATCAAATTATTTTAACATATAAATCCTATATTAAAGTTTAATATATAATATGTAAAATATTCATTTAAATCTTCATTATCAATGGAACATAAAGACATATCACAAATTATGTTAAGTGGGGAAACTGGCAGATAAGAGCCAAGGCACGGGTATCGGTGCGCGAATTTATTATTGTTAAATTTTATTAACTAATGTGCATTAAATATGTACGTTTCAGACCATTTTTGGGTCCATCTCCAGCATGGATATAAATATATACAGATTAAACTGGAATTTTAAAATTTGACATACACAACATTTGCAGTTGCAATTAAATTTCAAATTAAAAATAATAATCAGAAAGAAGGCTCATTAAAACTCGTAAATAAAAAATTATACTGTAAATCACCGACTATATATGTGTGGCGATGGCGTTTGAACTTTGTCCACTTATTTGTACAGATTTCATGCGGGTTTTAGTGAGCCATCTTTCTGATTATTATTTTTAATTTGAAATTTGATTGCAACTGCAAATATTGTGTTGTCTTTTATTATATGCTTTTGTTTGTCAAGTTTTGTCACGTATGTCAAGTTTTAAAATTCAAATTTAATCTGTATATATGTTACGTCCGGACTCGTGGAGAATTGAGTCGGGATGGAACGCAACTTATACTTACCTCGAAACACACTCTCTATCTTTTGCGAGACAAGTGTTTCCGAGTCGAACGAACAATACGGGCCTTAGACAGGTCAATGACCGGAAGGGTCGCTCTTACTCTATCGAAAGGCCGTTCGCTCGGCGGTCCCTTTTTGGTAAAGGAACTGAATCCTTTTTACCCGGGACGGGACCCTGTGCAATTTCGGATAACAAGAAGGAGGTCGGGTTAATAAATTACTCGATTTTAAAATTTAACATTACATTTATTCATAAATAAAATGAATGATTTTAAAAGATAAAATTTAATAATGAATTATTAGGCTCAATTTATAAAACTGTTATTATAAAATAAATTTTCTTAAAATCTAATGTGTAGTTATGTTCGTGTGTGTATGTGAAGGTAAAGGAAAATTATGTTCTTGCGGGTGATACATTAATGCGGAGGACATCAACCGGAATTAAATGGGGAAACTAAAATCTGGATTCCGGTTGGAAGTTTACAATAATCATTTTAAATACTGATATAAATTATTAGAAAAAGGAAAATTGAAAAGTAGGGAGAAAAAGGTAGGAGGACTATTGGAGGTCTTGGAGTTCTACTGTAGAGGGGGAAGGGAATTTCATCCAGAAGACCTCGATGGGGACGGCTAAAGGAAAGCGGGAACCAGGGACAAAAAATGGAATGATCGAGCCAGGTGGACTAGTGCGAAAAATATAATGGAATAGGTCAAGGTCTACTATATCCGGACCGACGCGATAATTCTCGTCTGTAAGAGATACTGGGTAAGGAGGAAACTGATTTAGAAGCTATCTGTACCAGTTTTGTCTAGCCTGTTCTTCGTGGAACTCAGACTCTTCTTCGGTATCGAAAGATCCCTGTTCGGGATCTTTGGTTCCTCTTTGAGGTCCTGATGGTCGAGAGATGGTGGGTAGTCGAAGGGGGGAGGGGGAATAGGATTTCTCGGCGGTTGCTGGAATTAAGGGAAAGCAGGCGAATATCCGGAGGGAGAAGGGGGACCAGGATTTTCCAGCTGTTGAGGAGATTCAGGGAAGGTAGGTGAATGTTCAGAGGGAAGAGGAGGAGTAAGATTGCCCGACTGTTGAGGGGATTCAGGGAAGGCAGGTGACGGGGGACGCTCGGGGGAAGAGACGGGTGAATAAGAGGGGGGAGAATAATGAGGAGAAGAAGTAGGAGGACAAGGTGGTAGGTTGTGTATTTTGTGTGTCCGTGTTTGCTTATTATATATTCTAATTAAACGATAAGTTCTTAGATCGAAGGAATGCTTATCTAGGTTAAATTTCTTATAATCTATAGTGTAATTAGAGTCCGCGGCCGCCCAAACCAATTTTTTTCTCAGCTGTCTATTCCGATGGTTTCGCGACCTTTTGATGGTTGCGCGCGAAGATTGATTTAATCTTTCCACTAAGAAAAGGGGCCGTGATGAATAATGATAATAATGAAATCGATTGTGAATAAATTCTTAATTCACGAAACAATTCTTGGAAGTTTTCTTTAATTAACTGAATAACTCTAGATTTCAGATCCGGATAATAAAGAAAGTTTATATTTTATATTTCTATATGAAAATTTTCGGAAGAACTGGGAGTAGAAAGGATGACAAATGTAATTGGGAGTCGCTCTGTAGAATACAGGTGACTCTTAATTGCAGGTTGGAAATCACGAGTAGCTCTGCGAAATATAGGTAACTCGTGGCGACGGACGGGAAATCGGGAATCGCTCTGTGAAATACAGGTAACTTTCGACGACAGGCAGGAAGTCAGGAGTCGCTCTGTAAGATACAGGTAACTCTCGACGACTGGCAGGAAGTCGGGAGTCGCTCTGTAAAATACAGGTAACTCTTGGTGACGAACGGGAAGTGGAAAAAAGAGGATTTGAGATAATATTTCAAGGGAAGAAGTATGAGGATTAAGGAGGAGAAGGTTGCACAGGGAAGCAAATCAAGATCTAAGTACGAAGTATTGAAATGAAATACTGATCGATCCAAGAATTATTTCGGAATACAAGACGTAAAATATAATAATATAACAAAAAGGGAAGGATAAAAATTGAAATTGTTCAACCCACTTACTACTTGAGAATGCGTTGATACTTGTAGTGACTAAGTGTGGTTCGGCTCCAGCTGTCGTGGCTGATCAGAATGGGCTTGGCAATGATGGCTCGGGAACCCGGTTTATTGTGTTGCTGATTTAAACACGGCTTGTTGGCACTTACCACTTACGTATCACTAAGTCTTTCACTTTTATTTGAACTCGGTCTCTGCACAATTTAGAGTCGCGGGAAAACTTGATCTCCGAGCTGACTACTAGCTAAGTAGTGAGTCGGTTGAAGAACGAAAACGGAATGAATTTTCGAGCGAGGATTTCGCGTATCCTCGAGTCTTAGTATCTCTCCACGTACCCTCTCCATTAGGCAATCAGAATTCTTTTTTAGCAAATCAAATCTTTACTATTTACCCTTCTCATGAGTAGGAGGTGCTACCCTTCCAGAAGAAGGTCCAGAAATTACGTCTATTGGTGTAGGCTTTTGTTTTTAGAAGTTAAGTCCAGCCTATTGGAGAGTCCGTTATAATCGGCTAAGTTGACATTTTTATTATTCCCGTTGAAATTTATCTGAAACAGATAACACAAGAGGGTGGTCTAGCAGGCGAGCACATGGTGTCAAGTATTGCGAGATCTGGTTACGGATCTTAAGCCCGTTGCGCAGACCTTAGAGTTGAATATTTGATCCATCTGTTTGTTTTCCGTACGCACATGGTCTAGATTTCTAGCGTTCGAGGATCTCTTATCTTTGTTTAAAATTTTCAAATCTTTGACGTGGGTCTTAGTCCCGAAATATTTATTGATCCGTCTCATGGTTAAAAAAATGTATTTTTTTATACCAGTGATAGAGTTTTATGAAAGAAAAGAATCGTGGAATCTACCGGACGTAACATTTATTTATATCCATGCTCAAGATGGACCCTAAAATCCGAAACGTACATTTTTAATGCACATTAGTTAATAAAATTTAACAATAATAAGTTTGCGCGCTGATACCCGCGTCTTGGCTCCTATTCGCCAGTTTTCCGACTTAATTGTTCTTACCTACCGCTGTTATTATGGAAAATAATTTACTTTATCAATCATTATTATATATCATTATATATTCAAATTACACGTAACTACCATAATGATCTAACATATTATCTCTCTTACCTTGAATCTTATTTTGTGTGAATTTTCTGAAACGTTTTTCCGTATCTTCCATATTTTTCGAGATATTTGACTGGCTCTTTTAAAATGGACCACCCTGTATGTATATATACATATATTCTAATAAAAATTCACACAAAATAAAATTCAAGATAAAAGAGATAACTTGTTCGATCATTATGATAGTTACGTATAATATGAATATTATAATGATATATAATAATTTTTATCATAATACTTTTTATTTTATTAAATTACACGAAAATTATCGGTATTTCGATGAACCTTTAACACAACCTAGATGCTACAAATTGAGAGATCCAACAAAATGTTATCCCGAGCAAGAAATTTTGCTATAAATACATTCTCAATCGAATGTCATACATTATTCACGACGAGCGAGGTAATCATTACGTAGAAATTATCCATATTAATCTCAAATTACGCTAATAAATTTTTAAAATTGAAATATTTGACATACATGTATGAAAAATGAAATTTATATCCGTATATTTTAGCATAACTTGAGAGACAAGTTCGCACCCAAAAATCCAATTTTATCTCTTTTTTTCTCCTAATTTTATAAATAGTAGATGATGTATGTGATATTTATAGTAGAGATTTATTATATCGGTGGTTTATAATATAATGATATATTATAATGATATATTGTATGATGATAGTAATTATATATTGTAAACCACCGACGATAGTGAGCCATCATTTTGATTATTATTTGTAATTTAAAATTTGACTGCAACTGCAAATGTTATGTATGTCAAGTTTTAAAATTTCAATTTAATCTTTATATATTTATATCCGTACTGAAGATGGATTAAAAAACGTTTGAAACGTAAACTTTTAATGCATATTGGTTAATAAAATTTAACAATAATAAGTTCGCGCACCGATATTCGCGCTTTGACTCTTATTTATCAGTTTTCCCGCTTAATTGTTCTTGCCTTGAGCCTATCGCTGTTAACAAATTATTTTCATTTAGTATACAGCCTGTTCGTCGTACAAATTTAAGTAACCTTGGTATAAAAACGTGCTGTCAATTCGACAACCGTTTCACATTTTACCCCAAAGGTCTTCAATATTTTTCTGCAGATATCGCGACAATTGTGAATATTTAATACGGATATTTAATACATTACATCGTCGTGCAGCATATTTTCTTCCAATATTATGATGTACGATATACTGAAAGATTCATATACGGCGTCACATTATTCAAATTACATCACATTTCCTCGTATATGTCGACAGTTTGGAATTATTCTGTCATAATAGCACGTGTTAGATATGTGAATATAATTCACATCTTTTGCACGGAATTTCTCATAAAATATATCGCTTAGCGCGATTTATTGTCGTTTCTTGGAAGCTGCTTAACGTTTAATCTATTCTATTCATCAAATAATCTTATACACATCGTTTAGAGGAAAATTTATTTCCTTTATAGGGTTTTCAGAAGTTTCTTTCATCCATAAATTCATTCAATTAATTATTAAGTTAATAAATTTCGATCAATTTATTCGAATAATTTCGAAAATTTATTTTATCAAATTTTATTTAAAATTTGATAAAGATACGAAATATTTATAGCGTCAATTATAGATAATACAGACAACATGCAAGAACAAAATTATTAAATCCTTTTTACTTAAACCATATAATCTTGTTGAACAGTGCCGGGTAGTTTATGCGCACGTGTTGATTGTTTTGATGAATCTTCAACAAAACCTAAGTACATAGATTGAGAGATCTAACCAAATATTATCCCGAGCAAGAAGTTTGCCATAAAACATTCTTAATCGAATGTTATAAATTATTCACAAAGGGCGTGGCAATTACTACGTAAAAATTATCCATATTAATCTCAAATTACGCTAATAAATTTGTGAAATTGAAATATTTCACATATATGAGTGAAAAATGAAACTTATATCCGTGTATTTTAATCTAACACGAGAGACAAATTCGCACCCAAAAATCCGATTTTATCTATTTTTTTCTTCTAGTTTTATATGAATAATAGATGATGTGTGTGATATTTATAGTCGAGATTTATGCAATATATGTGAACCAATTCGACAATTACGAATATAGTGTGAGATATAAATGAGGCATTCAACATGCGTTTGAACGCTCAAGCGATACTAATTACGACTGTGCTATGAATCGCGGTAAATAGGAGGTAATTGCGACAAATATTGCACGTGAGTAACGAATAACGAGCAAAATCAATTTATTGTGGCACGTTAATATATTATAACACCATAAAATGAGATAACAAGATTAAAAATATAATTTTATTATCATTCTAAATTTAGTAAATAGAAAATATAAAAAAAAATTGCGTTTGAATAGATTAATTGAATTGATGTGAATTATCTTTAATCTTAACATTCGATAATTTTCTTTTTTTTTTTTAAAGAAGAACGAATATTTATTTGATAATCTGAAAATAAAGATTGATAGCAACTTGCTGCTGTATTGACAAATACCGCACTGAGAAAAAAAAAGTTGTTAACTTGATTAAATGCTTTCAACTGATTACTATTTCTTTAATTGAAATATTTAAGTATTTAGATTAAATACGATATTTCAAATCTAACATGATATATTTGACTTAAGTACTTAAATATTTCAATTTAAAAAAATGGTAATCAATTGAACGCATTTAGTCAAGTTAACAACTTTTTTTTCTTAGTGCGATAATTAAATAAAATACAAAATATTATAATAGAAATTTAATTAAATACGAAATATCGTAATAGAAATTCACATAAAACAAGATTCAAGGTAAGAGAGATAATTTGTTCGATCATCATGGTAGTTACGTATAAATTGAACGGATATACAATGATGACTGATAAAGCAACTTATTTTCATTCTCTTTTCCTCTTTGTCTATTTATAGTATTTTATCCTTTATACATGTGCTGCATATGTATCCTTATTGTTCATCAATTTTCTCTCTCTCTCTCTCTCTCTCTCTCTCTCTCTCTCTATGCAGGTTCTCTTTCACACCCATTTTCATTCTTCTCTAGTGCGCATATTCGTCCCTCTTCCTCCTCTTGGACATTTCCCGACTCTCATACATGTGTTTCATTCCGGCGCACACATACAATACGCGTACGCGTATTATTTTCTCCTTCTTCCATAATACATCATCGTATCTTTGTCAATCGTGCATATATTATCTCTCTCGGGGCCACTTTCCATCCCTTCCAGATGAGCCGGTCACTCGAAGTATAAATGACGCAGCGCAGGCACATATCGCCAAAGTTTTCACGCTGCTCGATCATGACACGTCGTAGTTCTCCTTCTCTTATTCAGATATGTGCCTATCTGGCGTTCGTCACCATCGCAATCGGCCAAGGTGAGTCGCAAACAATAGACAAGACGATGCGATGGAAGTGTGTTTTTTGAATATTGTATTCACCGTAATCGTGAAGCAAGGATTAAAAAATTATTTTTTTCAATTCGATATTTTGATGTGATCTTAGGATACAGCGTGAGTATTGAATAACAAAATCATAATGAAATCGAATTAGAACAATATAAAATATAAATATGAAGTAAATATAAATATGAATGTAATTTTTTCATAAAAAACATGTCAAAATTATTAGATAAAAAATTTTAACTTGATGTTTATTAAATATTGCGTTTATAAGACACATTTTATCACATCATCAAAACATTCTTGTATTCTAACAATAAAGACAAAGGGTTATACATAAAAAAAAAAAATATATATATATATAACGTAATAATCTCTTCATTAAGTAATCTGTCAATTAGAAATTTATCTTTATTAATCTTTTCGAGATTTGTAGAGATGCTTCCGACGTTTTTTCGGAGATATCAATCTAATTTGGTAATCGTGCGAATTTTGACATTTTGACTTTATGAATAATTTCATCCGTTCTATAATTCTGCCATACTCAAAATTAATTTCTCGCTACACGAAATTGTTTCACGTCACAATTTTAAGCACGCGGAGCAGATTAATAATCATTTGCTCTTATCTGGATAATTATTTTTTGTCAAACTCTTTTGGTCCTCCCTTTCCGAAAAGACAAGTGCGATAAAACGAAATGTCCTGGTCCATTGGCGTATTACGAGGCGCTCGGTTGCCAACCCGTGTACGAAAAAGAGGACAGTTGTTGCGCGACAAAATACAACTGTGATCATTTGAAAGAGAGATCCAAGACCAAGTGTTACGTCAACGGTAAAGAGTACGAGATCGGGGAACTCCTCAAAGAGGAGGATGCGAATCCTTGTGACGTCGGCTGCACTTGCAGAACTGGATATGATGAAATGTAAGTACGACTTAACATTTTTCTTAATTGTTTTGTGTGTGTGTGAGTATTAAAATCATTAAGTTTTTACTTATTTAAACTACGTTACTTTTTTGGACAGTGCTGCATTTACATGTGCCATAGTGGATTGTTTCTTTGGATCTGTAAAATCTGGTTGCTATAGACAACGTTCTCCGTTACATTGTTGTCCCGGAGAGGAAATCTGTCGTAAGTATAGTTTTTTCGAAAGCTTTAAATTTTTTATATATTTACTTGCGATAATTGTTAATTATGTATGTGATTACTACTTGAAAGATGCATGCACACATATGAAAATATTAGTATTAAAAAATAGTGAATTTAATTTTACACCATTTATTTTTTTCAACTATACGCGATTGAAATAATAATTAATAAAAATTCGCGATATAAAATTTGTATATATATTTTTTCTATAGTATCTTAAAGTGTCGACCGCTTTTTTATCACTGCTTTTTTTCTTTTTTAAAAATGGCATTTTTGACATTAAAAATGTAGTAATTTTTTCATTAGCATTTAACTATTACGAATAGAATCTCAATATATATTTGTGTATGTATGTATGTGTGTGTGAACTGTATTATTCAGAAAGTTATAAAATAATATTGTTTTAGTATAATTAAATTTTGGGTTTACAAGTTACATACATTATTGCATTTGTTACGAGTACACTTCTATAAAGTATACTCCACACGTAATATGTACATAAAAATATTTACGTCACAGCTGAAAGTCCCGAAGAAAGGCCTACCTGTAATGTAAACGGAAGGATATATAAAGATGGGGAATACTTTAATGTAGAAAATGACCCAGAATTAAACTGCGTGTGCCAAGAAGGATATAAAGGTAAATTTATAATGTGTATATTTATCGTAGCTATAATTAAATTCGCGATTATATCTATAATACAGAATACGTCATTTAAATTGACACATTTAAATATCATAAAAACAAAGCATTTTATAAAAAAATGTTTCAGACAGAAGTTGTTTGCTTTTGAGGGGGGAAGAGAATAGCATTATTTATATTTAATTTGGTGGACGTTTTGAAGGTCATTTGAAGGTCAATTTTATTTTTTTCGATGGAAACCCGTATTTTTATTGCATATTTTTATAGCCCTTTTTAAGGCCTTTCTAAAACACTATAATAAAGTATTTTTTCATTAAGTATTGTTATGCCTCTAGCCGCTAAGGAAGAGGTCTTTAGGGATTTATACGCCCAAAGGATTAGGATCCACGCTCGAAATAAGACACTCCCGGACGTTAGGTATAAATTGATATATTCCCTGATTCTAATGCTTTGCTTTAATCAGCTCTTTCTCAATCTTTTCTGTTCTACTTTACTTGTTTTATCTTTTAATATTAAGAAATCGGTCGGGTTACGACAGTATTTTTCGAGTTATTTTATATCTCAATCTGACATATTTTGATATAAAAATATAAAAATATAAAATATCTTCGTAAAATATTTAGTTACTTATTCGCGATTATAATAGTCGGGCGCGATACGTACGGTATATCGATACTAGTGGTATGAGCGAGCGAGTAGCGAGCGATGTTAATGAGCTATGTTACTGAGCTAGCGTCGGTGCATCGCGCGCTCAATATATATTAATTAATTAGGTCGTTGATTAGGGAGGAGTGTGGTGTCCCTGACGGGGCATGTCTCGTGCTCCGCTCGTCAGATGTCTCGTCAACTGCTTACTCAGCTTCCGAGAACTTTTCATTAAGTACTTTTTGAGTTATTTTATATCTCAATCTGACATATTTTGATATAAAAATATAAAAAATATAAAATATCTCGTAAAATATTTAGTTTTCGATAATCTTACTGTACTTTTGTCTGAAATATTGTTTATAAAATGCTTTGTTTTTATGATATTTGTGACAATTTAAATGCCCTGTACATCACAATAATATGCATATAATAATCTTAAAATGTATTTTTAATTCAAATTTATGTAAAATCTGAGTACTTTGTATCAAACTAAAAATTTTTTAGGGGAAAATATCGAACCTTTCTGCGTGAGACCTAAACGTCCATATTGCAGTCCCGATTTCCGTGATGCGAGCAACATTTTTAATAAGTGCGCTCCGGTTTATTATTCTAATCAACCGCCACAAACAAGTTGCAGCGTATCTTCGAGATGTCGTAAGTTCACGATATGCGATTTTGCATTTTATGCACATAACACGATCTTATACGAATTATATTTTTTATTTTTTTTATTTCTTTTATTTTTAGAAAACAATAATGATACTGTTATTCACAACGAGGATAATTCGAAGGCTGCTGACGGAACCCTTAATGGTATGTTTTATATTCGTTATTACAAGTAAGATAGTAACATGGAATGACTCTTGAAAGATCTCAATCGTTCAGTATTCTCTCATTAATTTCATTAGTCATACATCGACTCGAAAAGTGTGAAGCTTTATATCTCGTACGTGTCTCAATTTATCGAACTCGCATAGCTATAATGTTGCGATACAAATGAACACATTGTATAAAATATAAATGATGTATTGATACGCATTTGAACATTCAAGCGACACTAATTACGACTGTGCTTTAAATGGCATGAAATGAGAGTTAATTGCGAGAAATGTTGCATGCGGGCAGCGAGAAGCAACACGCAAATCAATTTCCGTTCTATAAAATGATCATTAATTAAATCATCGTTATGAGTTTACAAAGCATAGGAAATTATGTTGTAGATGTATGTTGACGCGCCATTAGTATTCTTGAAACGCTCTTGACATCATAACAAATTTATAAGTTTGTTTTATTTATTTATATATTTTTTTCTTTTCTTTTCTTTTTTTTAAATATCAAATTTTGAGGTGAGTCAGCTGTAATTTTATGCTCTAATATGACGTGTAGCTCGAAAAAAATTATACTTTCTTAGAATATGTGTGTTTTATTATATAAGGCACACAATTATATGTATAATTATATAATTCAGATTCTGTTTCTTCCAGACAAGAACGTTTGTTATTTCGGTAACATGACCATGCACCTCGGTGATGAGTTGAATCAAACTACAGATTATAGCTCCGTGTGTGTTAAGTGCGTTTGCGAGGTACCGCCAACACCCACCTGTCAGCGTTTGCCGGATAATGAGTGCGATGTCACAAAGCATCCGTCATTCAATGGTTTTTAATTCTTTCAAATCTCTGATAATAAGATTACTTGCGTAACTAGATTCAGAACTGCATATTAAACTGATGCGTAAAAAAATATAAGAAATCTTCCTTTATATATAAAAAATGTAATATAATTTTTATGCACTTTGCTTATATTGTACAAGTATATTTTTATTTATAAAAAAATGGATTAAATTTTTTTTTCTTCTCATTTTCATAATTATAAGCAATCTCGAGGATCGATTATTTGATATGATTTGTAGAACAAAGTCACAACATTTCTGAATTTTTCAAAATATACATATCTTATTCACTTTATTATTAATAAACTGTAATTTTAAAGTCTATTAATAATTTACGATATAACAGATATTCACGCGTCTCCGACAAGATCTTCAATATTTTTTCTACTTTTCTTGCAATTATCAGTTTTGTTATGCGATATTTATAAATGAAAAAATTATTAAATCACTGATTAAGTATTATTATTTCACTTAATGATGTCAATACTATTGACATTGACACTTACATCGTTTCATCAATGTAATTCCATATAAATAATATATTTATCATATGAACTCTTGCATTTGTAAAAATAAAAATATCGTATTGGAAGCGTTATCATAGTATATTATGTTATCTTTTTTTTTTTACCGATGCAATGTTACGTTCGCGTCAGAATTATTCAGCCGATAATTTCCGCGGTCGTAATTTTGCGATTACCACAAATGTGAATGCTCTTGCTGTAATAATCGGTTTGCGCACTCGACGAATCAATTCTCATTTCAGATATCGTCTGGTGGTAGCACGCATCTGCGCGCGAGAATAAACTTAGCGACAGAGTCGTTTACACACTCCGCCAAACGTTTAGCAATTTCTCATTTGAACTCCTAAGTGGTTTTACCGTCGACACTTCGCAAACTCCTTTATTATGCGCGATTCGCGATTTATCGCAATGCGGTGGAAATGTCCCCGCGCCTCCCAGATGGAATGAATGCGTTTCAACGTTTGCTCAAACGAGCACGGTCTTTAGCGTTTTGCACGAATCAGTTAAAATCGAATGACAACCTCATAATTTACTGATTAAGCTAGTTAGCTTATAAATTATAGATTGCAATTGCAAAACGACAGCGACAGAAAACAGATCAACAAAAAAATTTGCATGCATTGAAAATGATATACGTGTGGAAAGATTCAACGTAATTAATGATGGTTGGCTAAAAACCACCGAATAGAGATATAAACAGAAAAAAAACAAGCCTCATTTTTTTCAAAATTCTGTTTTCTTTCAGATATTTAATATTTTTATATTTTGATTACTGTAAATTGATTTTCACTTAAAAAAAAAAAAAATAAATAAATTAAAAATATAAGAACTTTAGTATTTTTTATTATGTTAACAAAAAAAATATTATATTTTAAAAAATTTTGAAAAAACAAAATTGTTTTTTTTTTCTTCATTGAAAAAAAAAACATTTTTTTCAACTGTTTTTTTCTATTAGAAAAAAAAACCAGTTTTTTTATATCTCTAAAACGGAACTATCCAATACATCTTCCAATGACAAGATTAATAATTAATATCCTGACATTTTTTTTATAATGAATATTAAGCAGCTGCCCTTTCTTCTAATAGTTGTATAATAAAAGACTATTAAAAAAATTTTCTAAGATTGAAAGAGAGATATTCCGATATCGCATTTATTCCACTTATTATGACTTTCATTCCGCAATATGAAAGATGTAAGAATTTGTAATTAATTATTATTAATACGCGGATGTGTTTAATATTGTACTTCCTAAATAACTTTAAAATATATCACAAAGAATTTTTAAAATATATACTTGTCAAAACCAACAGCAGACTGAAAATTTTGATTCCAACAACGATCCAAATAATAGGAGAAATATCTCCTTCTCGCAACTCGACAGACGTGATTCCCATTGGTCGAGAGACAAAACGTGGATCGTACGCCGAGCACGCGCTGCAAACTTACTGTAAACGACCTCTCGGGATGACAATAAATCGGCTATATTAAGTTCCGCTTAAGGTACAGCCCGGCACGGTCGCCAGAGTTACCGGAAGTAGGCGGCGACGGTCTTGAGGGCACCGGTGAAATATGAAGGGTAGTATGAAAGAAGCGTCGGGAGCGTTTCCGAAAGTTGTATCGTCAAGATTGTTCAATAGGGATCTGTTGGAAAATCACCGCGACAACTGTCGGTCGCTGTGAATTTCGATGTGCTAAGCGCCCTGAGACAATTCTGTGATATAATTAAGAAATAATTTACAGAATGTCTAATTAGAAGATATAAAATTTAAAAGCTTTCTCGGAGGAAGAGAGAAGTAAAGTTCTCCAATAGTAAGTTGTAAGTCCATTAATTATCGGATTTCTATGTTTCACCGTATTATCATTTAATTCTTATTAAGAAACATTTTATCTTAAAAGAAACTTGATTTCTAATATAATTATCAAGATATTTAATATTGGAAATCAGAAAAGAGTTCCGCGTTGAATATATTTTACTGCTGGAACAATAATCATTAATTTGTGTAAAGACGTCGAGAAAAATAAATTTTATCAATTTTGTAATTTCAATTTAATAACTATTATTATCCGGAAATACACGTAATCACAAAATTAATTATTTAAACGATTCCATCAATGAAAAACTTTCTGAGAAGTGTAAATATCTAAGACAGTGAGACAGATTAGTATTATTCGAAGACGACCTTCGCACCCGCATGAACGTGGCCTGCATGTAAAACGGCACTCTCTAAGAAACATGTCAAGCGAACTGATTAGCTGATGGATCGCCCGACTCTATCGGGACAATTGAGAATGTACCGACGCGATGTAGAGAGACGGGTTCGACTGAATCCGGACAATGGAAGTCCTACAATCTGCTGGAACTAATCCCGCCATTGTCGTGCTAAATTTCTATACGAGATGCAGTTTGACGTAGTTCGCTGTACTTAGTTGATTGCAATGTATATATATATATATATATATATATATAGACCATATCGTGTATTTTAGGTAACATAATATTGCCGTTTAATTTGTCCTTTTAAGAATAAGAGAGAATAATCGTGGTCGAAGGTTTATATCATACATATATTCGATCAAACGCGTGAATATCCCGGTTTGGTCAGCATTATAAATCGTATAAGATTTTTTCAGTATTATAAATCATTTAAGATTTTTTTATTTAACAAAATCGCTTCATGGCCAAAGCATTTCGAAATAATTCAACAGAATGGCGTGAGCAGGAAAAAGCTCAAAAAATTTTCGATATATTAACACGACGTAGTTAACGCTTATCTGTTCTACTCGTCCCTGGCAGGCTTCTCGAAGCGGAATTAATAAAAAAAGTCATTAATAAAAAGTTACAGAGGAGAGGAGAAATTAAGGAACCATACGATCAGCCTGGTGGGCCGCATCGAAATTTAATTAATCCCCGCATAAGGAAAGACTTTCTCTTCCGTATCGCGACTGCAAGTTTTTAGCATCGAAGGTAAAGAAAGACAGGTGTTTCTCTGGCGCGGTGAAAAAATGTCGCAGTGCACAGTAGAAAATATTAGCTACGGGGAAAAAAAAACAAGATAAGTTAGAAAAGGCTTAATTTATGCGTCTAATTAATACTCCGGGAAGAAGTTGTCGTTAAAATGTAAAATTGCGCAACATAATATGCATCATTTTTACTATCAATTCTACAATTAATGAACAATAAATATTAAAAATATATTTAAAAAATGTCTGCTCATTGGGACATATTAATCATAAATATAATATTTATCAATTAAAAGTAATAAAAAGCTCTTTTTCTTTATAAAAGAATCTGTTCGGTCTATATATTTGCAATTATGTTTTCTAATAACCACGAATATTATTTAACGTCTTTCGCGCTTGGGAAAGCTCTCTTTTTCTAGCCACGTGTAAAAGCAAGTCTGTGGAGTCTGAAAATCTGGAAAGCGCGGAAAAACTCGCGCATCCGCCAGAGCTGCGGGCTGGCCGATGCATCCATAATTCATGCAGCAACGGCGGCAGCGGCGGTCTCTCGCATAAACTAACCCGGATACTAATTTCCCCGAGCTGCTACGTTGCTTGCGTCGCGCTGCGTGCTCGTTAAAAGAGAGAGAGAGAGAGAGAGAGATAGAGAGAGAGGCAGAAAGAGCGAGCTTGGATGCCGCGAGATGCAATTATGATAAACCGGGGGTGCCCCTCTTCCGAGAGCTTTTCAGGGCACGGTCTGCGAGTTCGGCGGGAATAAACCAGGAGCGCGTAAAACCGACCGACTCGCGTTCATCTATTCCGCTTCCGGTTTCCTGCGTTGTGTATATACGTGCCTCTGTGATTCCGCTGCCCTCCGATAAGCTTCGAGAGCTTCGGGAGCGGATTCAAGGGGTTGTTGCGATCGATCCCGCGAGACGAATGGCGGGCTGTTAAGCTTGTTGGGCCAATCGGGCACGGTGGGAGACGATGTTGGTGTTGCTGCGTTATTAATTTACTCCGCCGTAATTCCCGATTCGTTTGATTAAGATCTCCGAGCGTTGTTTGGTCATATTTATGGTCGATCGTTAACGTCGATAGGCTGGAGAGCGATGTCTCGCGGTTAATGAATTGATACGGATAATCCCAGCGGGATAAATGCTGAGAGCTTACGTTTACCCTCAGTTAGAATTGAAATTTTTCATATCGAAGCATAAACTCTCGGATTAGTCACATTTATTATTTATAGTTTTAATTACAAAATATATATTATAATTTTTTTGTGACATAATGCAATTCAATTTTTTTTTAAATTTTTCTACTGACTAAATATTTTTTATCTTAATAAACGAGAATTATATAAAAATTGTCAAAAAATATTTATCTCTCACAGACATTTAAATAATAAATAATAAAAAATAATATTCAAATATATCCGCTGTCAAAAAAACTGTCCTGCATAAATTAAATTTAAAAAAGCCGGGGCTTATAAATTGCGGGAGCGTAATTTTTACCTCTGGAAATCAATGACAGGCATGGGCAAGAGCGCTCATAAAATTTGCAAAATTAACGGACGAAGAGCTTAGCAAAGTGATTATAACATAACTTTAATAACTGTTTTGCTTGCCGCTATAGTGAAACTTTTTCGAGCAGTCCAATGTATACGGCTAAGAACCTGAAGAGCTTACGACAATATTGTGATTGCAAATATTTTTCTTGCCCGTTCCACGTCGGTCTGATAAATTTCGCAAATGACGGACGATTTACGTCGCGATATAACAGCGCGCTCCTCTTGTGCTCTCATTTTCATCAAATACCTGTTTTGCTAGAATTTACAAGCTTTCCTGGGTTAATTATCAGCGCTAGAAAAAACGACACACCTTATCTCTGCATTAAAAAATTATGCTCGCAACGGAAGCATCGAGAGAGAGGGAGAGAGAGGATATTATAATTGCATTACAATATCGCTTCCCGTACCGTCATAACGTTCTACGCTGTAATGGAAACTTCGTGAAACATCATTCCAGAATAATAAACGCATTACTCGTACGTCCCCTTATTTATTTATTTTCGTCCAGCGGCCTTTTAAGTGGCAGTATTTTATTCCGTTATTAAGAGCTGCCTATCGTCGTGTGCAC